CACACACACACACACACAAACAGACAGACAGACCAATCGCCAATACTCCCATTGTGTGCGTCCAAAATGAAGGGGTAATTTCATTCTAAAGTCTAACATTTCATTCCGTGAGTTTTGTGATTCAATCTACAGGAAGTATGTTGTGATAACACATATGGAAACATACATATAGCAATGATCAAAAAATAAATTGATAAATAAATAATAATGAATACATTTTTTTTGTTTTGAAGGTTCACAAATTGAATTCATTATATTTGATTTCATCTTCTGCTCCAAAATATTCATAATAATGTTGGAAACATTTCACAGGTAGGAAGACAAAGTTTTAAACAAACGAACATATTTTAATATTCTCTTTGTTTTGGTAGATCTCAGCTGGCACAATCCTATACCAGTGTTCGGTGTTAAGGTGTTACCTGAGGCAAAGCTTGCAGTACCGTGTCGAGGAGCAGTCGCACACCTTTGGCCATTTTCAGCAACTTGAGAACTGCGGAATCGGGAAAGAGCGATATCACGGCACATCAAACACAGAGCAACAGTGAGTGATCAAACAGAGACACTAGTGATGAAGTGCAGTGTGATTGGTCTCTGGTCCTACTAAGTGACCATCTATATTTGCAGGTGGATATTTTTTTAATTCAATTTGCATATTTCACAAATATTCATTTTTCTGTTGTGCATAATACATGATTCAAAGAATTGTAACCATGCTACTTTTGTAACATTTGTTCATGTCAAATCCATCATACAGCAAATAAAGATGGCCACATTATGTGTTCTACTCGTTTAGGCAAAGCTAGGAAACGACATGCTAAGTTTGCAGAGATGTTACCTCTGGAATAGCAATCATTAAGACACTTAGTAGTGATCGTAATCCTGTCATCGTCCGCATCAGTTTAAGTACTTCATCAAGTGTAAGCATTTGAAAGGAGAAAGTTGTCATAGAAAAAAGTTAGACAAAAAAGATTGTTTATACATTGACATGAGGAAGGCAGATAAAAACTTGGTAACCATAGAAACCATACAGAAAAAATTTTCTTTGTTAAAAGCAAACATGCAGATTTTCAAACAAGAATTGGCTGAGCCCATCTCTATGCTGGCAAAAATGTTAACTGCAATGAGAGGGAATAAACTTGTGAATAAACTTGCATTCATAAAATGTTATCCAAACTAAGGAATAAAATTAACCCTGTGCAAGGCTAAGTACGAGACAGGTCCCAAGAAGTATAATTGTGCAACTCCACAGGATCAGTATTAATGACTAAAAAAACATGTATGTGTTTCTTAACGATGAAGGTAATTAATTATTTGTGTGAAAAAACAACAATATTTTCGCAGAAAAACACTTTATGCATTTGCGTACTGAATGTACGAGGGTCGAGAGGTCACTCTAATCTTTTCATTTATATACATACATGCCAAGCATCATGGAATTTAAATGATATGATATATTGCACATTTTGATCTATAATTAATCTGTGATGGTTTTGTTTACCTTGACCTTTATCATTGGTGTAACAACCAACTCCACTTTTAAAGTATTAGGGATTAGGTACATGCACATCATCACAATAGGGTGCTCAGTATTTCTAGAATTTGCATTGTGAGTTTAAAGATATGATACGATATGAATTTGACTGGGTGGTATCTACTTTAAAATTCTCAGCAACGCTTAATAATACCATCACCTTTGTTTGTTTGTTAATCAATGAAAAAAAGTCCCTTTTTTAACTAAATCATACAATAACCTAACCCTACATATGGATATCACTT